AAAAAAAAAGGAGCATTAAGAGCTCCAGGAAGGGGCTGGAGAGATGGTTTAGCAATGAAGATCACTTACTGCTCTTGCAGAGGACCTGAGATCAATTCCTGGCACTCACATTGGGCACTCACAACCATCTGCAACTCCAGCTCCAGGGAGGTCCAACACCTTCTTCTGGCCTCTGCAGGCACCTGGACTCACATGCACCAGCCCCCCCACCCCAATTAAAAATAAAAAGAAGAGCTCCAACCAGACGTGGTGGCACACGCCTTTAGTCCCAGCACTCAGGAGGCAAAGGCAGGAGGATCTCTTTGAGTTCAAGGCCAGCTGGTCTTCATAGTGAATTCCAGGCCAGCTGGGGCTGCAGGGAGACCCTGTCTCAAAAAAAAAAAAAAAAAAAAAAGAAGCGCTCCAAGAAGCCTCACTTCTTTGAGTAGATCCACAGACCCCAAGCACAGGGCACAGAGCACACAAAGCCCAGGCTGCTTCCTCTAACCCCTCTGCCCTAGCCCTAATGGGATGAGCAAAACACCCAGAGTTGACAAACCACAATTCTGATACGCCCAGCACAGTAGGACCCCATTCCCAATCCTGCAGAGCCTCATATGGGGAAAGTATTTAACAATACAACATGCCTGGCAAAACGATGGTCTTCCAAGGATTTGAATGTGCAAGTCTATCTAAAACTCAAGAGCTCCAATTGGAAGGGAGCGGGACTTCAGGAAGGTCAGAGGTGAAGAGGGTCACATTGTGGCTATAGGAAGAAGTTTGGGGTGGTGACACCTGTGCAGGGCAACGCAGGCTCAGGCAGCTCCTTTTCATATTAAACATGAGAATCTTTATGTGTCAAGAAACCAGGAGCAGCAAAAACAAAAACTACAGAATGGAGGAGAAAAGATGCGCACCGGAAAGGCAGACCAAGAGGGGACCAGCAGAGGGGACTCCAAGTCACCACAAAGCAAGGCTGACCTCTGGAAGGCTGCCTGCTTTGGAGGGACGCTCCTGCTCCTCGGTGCTCAGGTCACACCCGAACTGACCTTTGGCACTGGGAGCAATGCTGCTGCCCACACATGCCCACCTGCCTGGAGCACTCTAGGACAGTATCCACATCTGACCCTTCTATCCGCCAGTTCCCAGGATGGAGGCGAAAACAGGCAGGGAAGGAGCTAAGTTCTGAGAAAGTTCCAAAGAATTACAATAACAAAGAGCAGAGAGGCACACTCACACCTGGGAACAGGTGTGAATACAGTGCAGAGCTGGTGGAGTGGAGGAAATGTTCAGGACAGGCATGCACAGCAAGTGTACGGGTGCACCGGCAGGGCAGATACAAAGCAGGTGTTCAAGGCATTATGAAGTCCATCGGCAGGTGCAGGACAGAAGTGCAAGGCATGAACAAGGCAGGTATGCCGGGCAGGAGTGCAGGGCATGGCCAGTGCTGGGCAGGCGTGCAGGGCAGTAGTGCCCCGCAGGTGCAAGGCAGGTAGGTATGCAGGGCAGGTGTGAAGTGCAGGGCAGGTGTGCAGGGACGGGTGGAAGAGGGCCTGTCCTGAGGGGCAGATGTGCAAGACAGGTGCATGGGGCGGGAGGGGGCCGGCCGGTGTACGGTGGATGTGCTCAGGGCTTATTACTCGGGAATCCGGTGAAGCGCGAGGCCGGCGGGCGCACTTGCCTGCGAAGGCCGCGGCAGCGGCGGCCTCGTCGGGGCCGGGCAGAGCCTCGGTACCCATGTCCATGTGCCCAGACTCGGCCGCCATCACCGCCACAGCCGTGACCCGCCGCGTCTCGCGCTCCGCTTCCGAATCCGCGTCCTCCTCAGAGTCCTCGTCCCTGCTTAACGCCGGCTCGTCTGCCTCGCCTCCCGCTGCGGCCGCGGCCGCCGCCGCCCC